CCAACAGGAAACACTGCGGGGTGTTTTGATAGATAACCTAGCCATTTGGTTAGCAGTCAAAAAAACCCAACACTGACTTTTGTCTCATAAGCTGCAAGCTGCTTCCTGCTTGAAGCAAGATACTGTGGTTAAAATACATGACTAATTCATGCTATGCAAGACAAATTCCCCCTTGCTTTTAAAAACATGTTAACCACTTCCTGGGGGGCAGAGCTCACAACATTTTTCAGATGCTGTGACTGAACTACTGCTGGCTCCAAAACAGCCCCCAAAAGGGTGCATGGTAAAATTTGTTTAACTAACCTTGACAAGTTTAGTTGTTCAAACCCTCACTCCTGTCCAGAAGATGTGACATTTCTATGGTGAAACCATTGTCTCTAGGTCCTGCAGCTCTGTGGTCAGGTCCCAGGAGCACACACTTAGTGCGGAAAACCATGGTGGTCATGTTTTTGTTTCCCAGGTAACCCAAGGGCCAGATGGACATGTGGAGTCAGCTAGACTATAAATGTCCCTTGAAACAACCTTCTTCCTGTCCCAGTTAAGTAGGCCATACTCGCTTGTGCAGTCTTAGTGACTCAGCCACACAGACCAGATTAGGTTGCTCTCACAGCACCCAGCTTCTACTGTATTACTTCCTTTCCACTCTGGCTGCTGACCCCGAGTTAATTTCCCAGTAGGTAGTGCCCAGCACTCTGGTCCCCTTCCAACCCCAAGCATAATGCTGTCCCCAGCAGCTCTTTAACATCCTCCTGTAAGTGGGGTAGCCCCAGACCAAACTGACCCATGTGACATAGAGCCTGCAGAAGCAGAGAGCTGCCCTGCAGCAACTCTGTGTTGTCACTGGAGCCCCAGGAACTCTGCAGCAGGGTCTTTGCATGATGCAGATTTTACCTATCTCATCCCATAGGCATCTTCCCTTCATGACTCTTTCTCACAAGGGCAAACACTGATTTTTCTTGCTTCTGTGGGGCAGGTGCACACTCAGAGGGTTGTGAGCTGAAAGATGCAGCTAAAAGCATCTGCCCATAGGAGCCTCCTTTGAGTGGTAGGTAGTATTGACAAAGGGGCACTTCCTTCCAAGCTTCTCCGTGTTGGCATTGATTTGCTTTATCAGAAAACCTTGCCTTCTGAATATGGAAGGAAGGACATAAGGTTTCAACACATCATATATACCCTCTCCCCCTGCTGTTAGGCCAACAGGAAGACAGTCTACAGGTGCAATAATATGCCAGATGAGGAAACACTACCAGTGAGTAGCAAAATTTATGCAGAGTAATACTAGCCTTTGTCCCAGACCAAAAAGGTGCCTAGGCTGGAAATTCAGCTTGACCTTGGCACTGACCTCCTTGCAAGACCTTCAGAAACTGATGCATACTATAGGGACCAAATATCAGAGCTCAGCGACAGCTGCCAACTTGTTTGCTTTTCTCTCAACCTCCACAGACCAGACATTTCTCAAGAAAATGGAGCAACAGCAGAGCAGCTTCTGGGATGGGCCTGGGACTCTGGGATTGACCTGTGCCTGTGGGGTGATCCTTCAGACCTGGGAGAAAAGAATGAGGTGAAGGCACTTCACAGAGGAAAAATGTAAACAGAGATTTAAGAGGACAGGGCTCCAATAGTACTTTGATGAGGACAGGAGTAGTTGGGCTGGGAGGAAAGGATTTGGACATGTGTTGGTAGTGAGTTCTCCCTCAGAAGGGGTTACATCTATTCACTTGCTATTTGATAGTTGAGCCTCAGCAGCTGCTGTGTTCCAGAGAGGAGGCTAGCTTGTTTCTCAGTTTGCCTGTGCATTTCCAGGCAGGGTTGGCAGGAAAGAACGGACTGGGCTCCAGCTAATTCCAACATGGGACAAGTAGCAGGAGCTGCAATTGATCCTCCCTGCCTCCAGGGGAAAACATGAGCCTACAGCAGCAAATAGCAAAGGCAGACAAGGAGACAGAACTCTGGGCCTCAGGCAAGTAGAGAACTTTTTGTCATTTCTACTGGAGCTGGAGACAGGACACAGTTGGAAAGGGCAGAGGGACAGCTTTTGGAGGCGAACTGCAGCATCTGTGGGCATGAGACCTATGGGCTATCAGAGCAGGGTTTCTTCTTCAGCACAGAGCACATTTCTCCTGGGGTCATCCGTGTGTATTGTCTGGGAAATCATCATTCACTAAGCATTTCTGTTTTGGCCAATTCACCTCGTTTTCCAAAGACAATTCCCAGGGATGGAGGATTGGATCCTTTCAAACTCATCCCTCACAGAAAACATGTTGGCCTTATCCAGCTCCAGATGCAGCTGCCCAGCCCCTCTGAGATGTTCGGCCCTGCAGGCAAGGGGAGGTGGAGCCCAGTGGGGAAGGAAGGAGGAAAGGCAGATGCAGAGTTGCCTGTCAAAAGGAAAACTGCTTCGGCAGGGATCAGAGAATTTCTGCAGCTTCCTGACCCTGGTTTTGGAAGAGACCCTCAGATCCCCATCTCCTCCTGGACCTGTTCTGTAGCACTATACGGTGAGGACCTCATGGCCAGGCACTTCAGGGCTTTGCCCACTGCCCTGTAGTGTTCTGGCCAGGGACAGCTCTGATGGTTGTGGAAGCCCTGGGCTCATGTCCTGCTCTACTCCATGCTTGTGCCTCGAGGGTGTGAGCTGGGCAAGGGGGCATGGCTCTTTCCTGGCTCCCCAAGGCACAGCAGGCTGGGGGCAGGCACTAACAGTGTGGGATGGGACATGGGTCAGCCTGGCCCTAGAGCCCAGTCCCACTGTCAGCAAGAGAGGAGCACCCCTTAGTCTGTGGGGCCAGGGTGTGCTGGGGGTCCTGGGCCCAGACTGCAGAGCTGGGCTCTGCCTGCATTGCTCAGTGTCCAACCCCTGTCCCTATTTGTCAGAGGGGTGATTCTGAGGAGTGTCTCCAGCAGCATCTCCTGTTTCATGGGACAGATCAACCAGTTCCTCAGAAACGGCCCCTCTGAGAGATGAATGCCACTCTTCCCAGACATGGGATGAGGCCTCAGCATGGTTATCATCGTAGAAGAGGGTTGGGAGTCCTTCACCCAGCTATCTGACCATGAACACTTGGCTTTTGTTGTGTTCCTGGCTCTGGATTTCTGGCTTTCCTGCCCAGCCAGAGGGTTTAAGGAGATGCTCTTGTTGTGAACACATGTTTTTGAGGAATTGAGACTGCCCTGGAGCAGGACTGCTTGAGGGGCCTATAACACTGGGCCCAGGATGACAAGTGAGTGCTCAATCCCCTGCAAAGCTGCTCAGCCTGACTGTGGCACTTATATTTGGCTGCCATATGGAGTAGGGGGTGTGAGATTTGATGCTGTCTGGCAGGATGTAAGGTTTCACTTCCAGAGACATCTCTCTCTGCAGAATCGGTCACTATACATTAGTCCCAGAGTCTTTTCCTGCCTGCTTCTTATCTGGTTTTAGCTCTATGATGGATGAGTCAGTTTATGGAGGCCTGTTGGAGTGGGTCAGGTGTCTGCTCTTTTCCTGAACACAGCATGAATTTTTTCTTCTCTTCGTAGAAAGGATGTTAACAGTATGTGGACTGTGAAAGGACTTCCCTTTCTGGAGAAATGAAAGATTTGTCAGTCAGACCAGAAGCCTTGAGAGTGCTCAGCCAGCATGAAGGGACACAAAGAGGACTGCCCTCATGGAGGCTTCTTGCTGTTAGATCAGCTGAGGAGAAATAGCATCCAGCCTCCGTGCTCTGGGTCAGACTTGTAAATTGTTTACCTGTTTCCTGGTTCTGTGTACAACAACAGAAATGCTCTGCTCAGTGGTGTGGCTGGGGTGAGAGAGGACAGAGAACTTCCTCATCCCTCAGGAGGTTGAAGCTATGCTGGAGAGAGTGCTGTTAGCAACAGTTTCTCTTTAGGAAGACACTCTCCTTCTTTCTGCTCCTAGCAACCCTAATATTTGTTCCAAATAATTTCAAATTCTTTTATTGCATATCCTTGATTTAGATTACAATATTTGTTCCAAATATTAGCTCTTCAAACATCAAATACAGGCTTTCTGAGATGCCAGTAGAGGACCATGCAGGAGGGCAAAGGTGGTACTTGATGTGGCAGAGTTTTGAGGATGCTGGCCTTGTGGTGAAATAATGTATAAGTCTTCCTTTCTTTTATTTGAAGCAAACATAGAGGTGCTATGAAACTACATGTAAGGCTTCTGATCTGCTTGACAGGATTTTGGCAACCATTCAAAAAGGAATGGCTGGGGAACCCACTTTATCCATATATTAGCATGTCACTTGGGGAAAGCCCCGTCCGCCACCCTGATCTAGGAGCACTTCACCCTCCTCATCTGCGACCAAGAAAGTGCAGAGTTGGAAGCAGGGAAGCACTGTGGGTAAAATGAGAGGTGTAGTCATCCAGGCTCTGTGGACTAACAGATTCCTGGAAGAATTGACACAGGAGAGCTAACAGTGCCTCTGGTGGCATAGGGATTGGCTCCAGGAGCATACAGATTGCAGCCACCGCCCTGTAACAGTCAGTGAGTCTTTTCCCAGGGTGTGCCTGGTGACTCTCAGAAAACAATTTGTTGTTGAACCTCTGCTGTTTTCCAGCATATCTTTAGCATACTACAATGGCAAGAGAGAATACCAAAGACTTCCTTTCGGAAGCACTGGAGGACCTTATGTTGGATATGTTTGAGAAGTTTAAGTATAAATTATCATATATTGATTATGATGAGATGGCCAATCTCTCCAAGTATTGGACATCAGTAGTAGAAACTGCTTCTTAACACTATTTTCAAGTTCAGCTGAGGTGTGATTGCATTTCAGTGGTGGGTGATGGGCATTTCAGACTTTTTTTCATCTCAGCATCGATAATAGAATTGGAAGAACAAGGTCTATTGAATGATCCAGAGATCCTTTAAAATGAAAGAGATGAGGTAAACTCAAGGTAAAATAATTTTGTGGCTAAAATGTTTTCATTTTAGCAGGAGAATGAACATTGACTTTAATTTCAAATTCTTTTATTGCATATCCTTTATTTAGATTACAAGATGAAGTACAGAGAACACATACAAAAGAATTACCACTGGATAAAAGACATGAATGCTCATATTGGTGAGACGGTGACTCTGAACTCCAGATATACAAGGCTGGTTCTTGTTAGTGCGCATCACCATGAAAAAAAGAAAGAACATGAAATCATGGCTGTGGGACAGAGACAAGCAGAAATCATGCAGGAACAAGTGAATTCTTCCATTGCTATAACAGATCTTTTTAAACCTGACAGGGATAAACAGACACCAAAGTCTGCCGTGATATTGGGAGCTGCAGGAATTGGGAAGACAATGACAGTAAGAAAGACTGGGCATCAGAGGGACTCTGTAGACAGTTTGACTATGTTTTCTACATACATTGTTGGAAGGGTAATGTTCTTACAGCTCAGGGGATTATGGCTGACATGATTTCGAAATGTTGTCCCAGTGATAATCCACCTCTTGTAGAGATCTTGAGGAGACCAGAAAAACTCCTGTTTATCATTGATGGCTTTGATGAACTGACGTTTTCTTTGGACCAGCCACAAAATGACCTGTCCTCTGATCCCTGGGAGATTAAGCCAGTGGAAATCACCCCAAGCAGTTTATTTAGGAAAATCCGTCTCCCTGAATGCTCCCTGTTGATCACAAGACCAGCTGCCCTGCAGAAGCTGGAACAGTGTTTGGTGTGTGAATGCTCTGCTGAAAATACTGGGATTCTCAGCAGCTGATAGGGAGTAATATTTCCACAAATGTTTTGAAAATAAGGAAGAGGGAAGGAAGGCCTTTCAGTTTGTTAAAGGAAATGAAACGGTCTTTACCATGTGCCTTGTCCCCATCATGTGCTGGATCGTCTGTACTGTCATGAAACAACAGCTTGAAAGTGGTGAAGATCTTGCACAAACTGCCAACACAACTGCAGGAATATATATCCTTTATGTTTCCAGCTTACTAACACCTCTGAGCAGCAAGTTGAAACAGAACTTGTACATTAGCCTGAAAATACTTTGTTGCCTGGCTGCTGATGGGATCTGGAAGCAGAGAGTCCTCTTTGAGGAGGAGGCAATCAATGAATTCTTGTTAAATCAGAGAGACACTCTCCCACTTTTTTTGAATGAGAGCACTTTTCAGGAGGCCATTATTTGTGGGAGTGCCTACAGTTTCATTCATCTGAGTGTCCAAGAGTTTTTTGCATCTCTATTTTATGGTGAAACAAGAGATAAGCAAGAAGATCCTAACAGGGATGTGAAAAAATTGTTAGAAAACTATGGAAACTCAAGACATGATTTCAAGTTAACCATGCAGTTCCTATTTGGTCTCTTAAGGAACAAAAAAATGTTTTGGAAAAGGAATCAGGGTGCAAAATTTCTCCTGAAATTAACAAAGAATTACTAATGTGGCTTCAAACTAGCCAAAAAACAGCTTTAGCTGTTAATGCAGAGAAAAGAGCAGTGATTCATGATTTGGAGGCTTGCCACTCGTTGTATGAAATCCAAGATGAAAGTTTTGTGAAAACTGTATTGGCTTATTTCAGCAGAATATATCTACAAGACATCAATTTCACCCAATTAGATGAAATAGTTCTTTCATTCAGTATAAAAAAGTGACCTAAACTGGAATCACTTGATGTGGGCTATTGCTCCTTTATCTCAGAAGACCATGAAGAACATTTAGACAAACAGCAAGCAAAGCTGTCACATCTGTAAGTAAAATCCTAGGTCCCTAACTTGCAAATTCTCTTAGCAACTGAAAGAGTTTCAGTAACCAAGAAATTACTGGCTTACTTATCAAAAAATCAAGGCTAAACTTTTCATAAAGTGAAGGTGCAATGATGGAAGCTGCTTTGTGATGAGCCTAATGGGATGTTGCACTAGTAATTACTGATGACTTGAGTCAATTCAAGAGTAAGCATGTAAATACAAGACTGCATGTCAGCTAAGTGTCTAAGTTACCGTTGTAATCAAAGAAGACCAGAGTCCAAGTCATCTAACATTCAGATAGTCACCTGCTGGCTGGTCAAGTGAGATCACTCTGCAGTCACCACTGAACATACGAGAAAACTATTGTCTGTGATGAAACTACTGAACTGTTTGGCTTCCTTGTACACACTAACTTAGGACATGCTAGTCTCAAATACAATCCCATACAAATGCAATCCCATGCAGGGTTTCTTTTCCGCTTGCCCTCCTATTAATTGTTGATGTTCTTGAAATAAAAGGCCTAAAAGAAAGAAGTTTTCACTGTGTCAACAGATTTCAAAAGCAGGGAGGGAGCAGCCCATTCAGCTCTCCAGGGAGCCTTACAAATCCCTGAGAACAGAACCCCTTTCTATGCCTCATCGTGATCCCACTTCAGTTAGGGTGGGTGAAACAACTTCTTTGCTGAGGCTCTCTGTTTACCAAATGCTGGATCCTGAGAAGACAGGAGGTACCTAGACCCAGTGAAAGACAAGGGGAGTTCTCCCCCTGCAGGCAGTACAGATATAGGCCTTTGCCCTTTGTGCACAGCAAAACATAGCATACTGTTGATTTTTGGTTTATGGGTACAAACCTGCTTTCTATGTTAAGGGGGAATGCTCTGCATGTTTAGAGCTCAACTATGATGTGCAATAAGTGATATCAGTCTGCTTTTCCTGTTCTTTTCCTCAATGTATATCTGTACCACCTGATGCTATAGGGTAGGGAATGAACCCAGCTTGGTCAGGTATCTGGAGCGAAACAGCTACAATGAGATGGAGTTCTGCCCAGGTCATTTGTCCTTTTTAGAACTATGCGATACCCATGAAGTGCCCAATCAGGTGCTTTTTATGGAGGCACAGCAGAACTCTGAGAATCGTTGTTAGGGAAGGGGCAGACAATGCCAGCATCCCAGAGTAACTCTGGGGGCACTTCCCAGCTATCTGGGAACAGACCCCAGATCTGCACAGGTGTGTTTTGCTGTGCAGGCAGGACTACACACAAAGTTACTGTAATAATCCAAGGATCACAGTTTCCCGGGCTTCTCTGACTCTACAGCTTTCTGTGCTGTTGCTTGCCAACAGAAAGAAATTTTGCTTAGTGCTCCTATTACTACAAATGGAAGACCCCTACCTGTATGGGGCAGCTCCTTCTATTTTAAGGTGCAAGCACATGAACAATTGTTGCACTGTGTGTAATGTACCCTTAACCAAATAGTATTTGCTTGGACATGTGAATTTCAGAGCACAGAACATATCCTTGAGACATATCACAAACAAAGGTATCATGAGTAAAGAGAAGTCATCCACATAGCTCCCTTTAGTACACACAGTGCACAGGGATATCTGGAGTGTTCCAAGCAGCTGTGACTCAGACCCTGGTGAGGTATTATATGTGTTTACCAAGGTGATTTGCTTTGAACTGTGACTGTAGAATATTCTGCCATTTAACATCACACCTGCGAGGGTGCTAGTTTAATTTTTGTGAAGCATAAATGCAAACTATAGCCAGAGAACAATATAAAATTCAACTCTTTTTTTTTTTGTTTTTGGGGGGGGAAAAGCCATCACCTATTTACTAGCTTTGTCAATCCCTGAAGAATCCAAACCATACATTAAAGATCTTAAGGTATAAAGTTGTTTGGTTTTGTTTTTTTTTTTCAGAAAAAAAAAAGAAGCCAGGAAAACCCTAACCTTTATATTTTTTCCTCCTCCCACACTCTCTGATAGAACAACTCTCTTTATTGATGCTCCTATGACAGCACTCATGTTTTTCAAGAGGTTTTGGAAATGCTGAATTGTCTTCAAATTCAGTGAGATGGTTTTAGTACAAGTCACTGATACCAATAACAAATTGGGGGAGATTGATATGGCAAAGTAGTTATGAGGAACTACTGGAGAAAAGATTTAGGAATGAGAATATTTTGAGGTTTTTTTCCCTACATAAACTCAGTCACATTTGATTTAAATGTATAAAAATATCATAATTTATATCAAATTTCCCCCTGGCTCCAAGTTAAGATTTAGGACAAAAAAAGGAAACTCTTTGTCTTTAGCTGGCTGTTTACTAACATCTTGCTTGAGGTGGTAAATAAAAAATAACAGAGGATACAAGGTGAACGTTTTCCTCTCTTCACTAGAAACAGCACTGGGCTGTGTTTGGTATCAAGTCAGAATGTCAGCAAGGCACAAAATTATGGTAGCCCTAGACAGCACCTCTATTGTGTAGCCACCTGTTTATCTGAGCAGCTTGGGTTTAAACATAGATCTTAAAAACTTGTGAAGGGACAGCAAACCCAAAAAAGCATGCAACGTTTCTGGGTTGGCACATGTTTTTCCGGTTTTCACCTCTCATTTCCTTCCTGTTACTTTCTTTCCTCTCATTCTGCCTTCTCCACATCTTTCTGGTCCTTTTTAGACAGAGGTAACTTGATCTTATGGGAACAAAACTCCAGGGAAGGGTGGTGTCTGCCAGGCATGGGAGGAGAGAAAGGTGGGGCTACATATAGGCAGGTATAGCCAAGGTATTCCATCCAACTACCCAATGCATTTCATTGCACAAGTATGTTGCAAAGGCCCAACCAAACTGGGGTTCTCTTCCCTCACTGCAAGGACAAGCCAAATCCTTAAACTGGAGTTTCTTCTTTCCTCTTGAAGGGACTGAAACGAAGAAGTCTCCGAAAAACTCTCTAAGACTCTATTTAGAGTTTTAGAAAGCAGGTATTCTTTATTGCAGCGCTGGACGCACAGGGGATCGCTCCACCTAGTGTGCGTGCCAAATCACGTAACCACAGGGGTTAAATGCAATTAGAGTATACATATTCATTATATTTCCAA